GACCGATACGTGGCCATCTGTGACCCTCTGCATTATAACATCAGAGTGACTGTGAAAAGAGTTCAACTTTGTGTTTGTCTGTGTTGGTTCTCATCTCTTTCCTACTCGGGCGTCATTTATTACGATCAGCTGATGCAGCCGGGAAAGTATCATTCCTGCTATGGGGAGTGCGTCATCGTGTTTGACTTCACGACAGGAGTCGTTGACCTGGTGGTGTCTTTCCTCTTTCCGCTCTGCAGCGTCGTCATGCTGTACACCAAAGTGTTTGTGGTTGCTGTGTCTCAGGCGAGAGCCATGCGCTTGCACGCTCCACGCGGCAAACTCAAACACTCGCCGCCTTTCCGGGTAAAGAAATCCGAGTTGAAGGCCGCCAGGAGTCTGGGTGTTCTCGTTGTCGTTTTTCTCCTGTGCTTCTGTCCGTATTACGGTGTGTTTCTCGCACGTGATTCCTTACGCAATCACACCCTTCAAGTGTGCGTCATCTACCTGTACTATTTCAACTCGTGTGTGAATCCCTTGATATACGCTTTGTTCTACCCCTGGTTTAGAAGAGCAATCAAGCACATTGTCACCCTGCGCATACTGCAGCCTGGCTCCTGTAAGCTCAACGTACTCTAGAATCAATTTCAAGTGTTGTTCATGTAAAAGTAAATCAATCTTCGCTGAACGTCACTTGTAGTAATGCTTCGTGTCACTGTGATCATGCGTGTCTTGAGCAGTCGTTTTTCAAAGCCGTTAATGCTTTTTGGATACCAAAAACAACTGAATGCTTAACAGAGAGGCAGGAAAATGCACTAATCCTCATTCAGTGGCCCCCTTTTTTTAACCATTCACATAAAATCACTGGTCCACGTTTGAGGACTGCAGATGTCAGAGCGACAGATAAATACAAAAATATCTGAAAGGCATCACATAAATATGGAACTCTTTCACATTGTGCAGTTTGTCTCTGCTTTTATGTTTGCTTTGTATTTCTCCGCTTTCTGCTGCAAAGCCGGTTTTATAAATGAGAATCTGTTCTTATTAATTCCCTTTGCTGCGCAAAGGTCACTCTTACACACCTTCATCACAATAACATCAAACGTTTTCAACAACTCCCTTCAAGTCATAAGATGAAATGATATTCACATTCACGCCATAAAGCTTGTGTGCATTGTCCCTTTTATTTAATCATACCAAGAACCCACCACCAATTTATTTGAAGTGATTATTAACTAAACTAGAGTTTGTTGCACATCTTTAACATGAGCGGCATTGTCGATCTCTCTTTCTCGCCTCTCCCCCCCGTTTTGTTCTCGCTGCCACTGTTGCCTGACACAGCACCGCCCTCTGTTGGCAGTTTATTATATTAACTAATTACAAAAGTAAAAGTTTGCATATTTACAAGTATTGATTCTTGTTTGCCCTTTGTTAATCTTACATAATAATCGGTTTATTGTAAATAAAAAAAATAAAAAAAGAAATTCGTCAAACAAAATACAGGTCCCTGTGATTGGCTAATGGCCGGTCAGCCCGAAGTCAGGTGGCATCGGCAGGCCCACCACGACGCTTGTGAGGATAAGCCGAAGAGAAAACGGATGGGTGGAAAATGCAGGTACGCCGTTTTAAAATTGTACATGAATGAGTTAACATCAAATTAACGCGGTCATATGTCTCAATAGAAGCACATCGTTTGTGTTGTGCTTGGCGGATGTCTCCTTGCTCGGGTGGTTAAAGGTAGTGTAAAACCTTCAATTAGAACTTCTGCTTTCTGAATGGAGGCCACGGTTTTCAAATTCGCACATCCAACAAAGCCATTCTGGACTTAAACCGCACTTTTAAAAGGCACCAAAAAGCGAATACAAGCTACCGACAGAAATGGGGAGCCTGGTTGACAACATGCTATTCCTGAACCACGTGACATGGACGGTCGAGGGACTACAAGGAGGAAGGAGTCCTCTCTGAGAGGGGAGAGTGAGAAACGCCACGGAGACGGTTCTGATTTCTTACTTTGGACACCTGAGGGCGATATAGCCTTTGTCAAACTGATTTTCTCATGAACTGATGACTGATCATCCGGATTGGGGGGGACGCTTGGCTGTGCCCTGGCTTAAAACAACGACTGAATGGCAAGGAGGGTTGCGAAGTCAACATGCTGCTGCTGACTGTGACAGAGACAAAAGAAAAAACTTTCAAGAATATAGTTGGCGACTTTTAAGGAATGGGGGGGGGGGGGAACCAAGACAAAATTAACAACGTCCCAAAACACAAAGAAACACAAGCAAACTAATGAGATCACGAGTTACAGTGATCCCTCGTTATTTCGTGGTTCGTTTGTCGCGGCTTCAGTGCATCGCGGATTTTTTTCAAACATTCATAAAAAAATAGAGCAACATTTACAGTACTACATGTATATGTTTACTGTATTTTGTTATTCATACACTAATCTAACCTAACTTATACATGTTTAAATCTGTTAGTATACAGCATTAAGTAATGTTAATTACTACATAATTTACTTGAGCATTAAGTAATGTTAATTACTACAAAATTTACTTGTACATGCATGTAGACCATTAAATTTGGCCTTATAAATATTTTTTATACTCATACACATGTACATGTACCTATACGGGGGGGGTTCGCTACTTCGCGGATTTTCGTTTATCGCGGATGGTTTTGGTCACCATTAACCACGATAAACGAGGGACTACTGTACACTCGGACAAGACACGAGTGGCTGAGGGAGCTGAGTGGTTGACACAAAAGTCTGGGCTGACGAAAACATGTAAGTGCTCTATAAATACAGTTGAGTTGAGTAGAAACATAAACCTAATGGGCAAGACAAGACATGAAAAAAAATGCCTTGGGCCCCCTTTGATCTTTGGGCCCTCAGCAATTGTCTGGTTTGCCTGTCCTGTCGCGGCGCCTCTGGTCAAACTAAGAGCCTCCGTGGGGCGGACGAACTAACCACGAGGGCGCCGTGCTGCCCGTGCAGCTTTTTCCCTTTTATTTCACTGCAGTTTCAGTCCAAAATGTAGCTTCACATCTATAAAGTCTCCATTTTTGGACAAACTCGCTTTGCTGATCCTCTTTGTTGCTTGTCATGGTTATCTGGAAATCTGAGCTGTTGGTGACTCACATGCTTGAATCATCTGGGACGAGGTGGCGCGTTGTGATAAAAATTCCCCGCAGGTCTGGCTCGCAGTCTGGATGAAGAATGTTGGATTCAAACTTTTGTGTGTTTACTCAGGCTTCCAAATGGCCCCCGAGTCACTGTTGCGCCACTTGGGTTATTCGGCAGAAAATCCATGTGAGTGAGGCACACTAAAACAAAAAGCAAAACGATCACTGGCATGCTCCGGATTCTCACGACATGACTTGTTTTAAAACCGCTGCG